ACTCAGGAGGCTGAGGCAGGAGAATTGCCTGAACCCAGGAGGCGGAGGTTGCGGTGAGCCGAGATCACACCATTGCACTCCAGCCTGGGTAACAAGAGCGAAACTCTGTCTCAAAAAAAAAGAAAGAAAAAAAAAAAGAAGAAGAAAATTAAAAGACGCAGGAACAAATTGTGAGGAATCAAGTTCCTGGAAGAGATGATGTTTTGTTTAAAACTTGAAGGTGGCCAGGCGCGGTGGCTCACGCCTATAATCCCAGCACTTTGGGAGGCCGAGGCGGGTGGATCACGAGGTCAAGAGATCGAGACCATCCTGGTCAACAAGGTGAAACCCCCATCTCTACTAAAAATACAAAAATTAGCTGGGCATGGTGGCGCGTGCCTGTAGTCCCAGCTGCTCAGGAGGCTGAGGCAGGAGAATTGCTTGAACCCAGGAGGTGGAGGTTGCGGTGAGCCGAGATCGTGCCATTGCACTCCAGTCTGGGCAACAACAGCGAAACTCCGTCTCAAAAAAACAAACAAACAAACAAAAAACTTGAAGGTCTGGCCGGGCGCGGTGGCTCACACCTGTAATCCCAGCATCTTGGGAGGCCGAGGCGGGCGGATCACGAGGCCAAGAAATCGAGACCATCCTGGCCAACACGGTGAAACACTGTCTCTACTAAAAATACAAAAATTAGCTGGTGTGGTGGCGTGTGCCTGTAATCCCAGCTACTCTGGAGGCTAAGGCAGGAGAATTGCTTGAACCTGGGAGACAGAGGTGGCAGTGAGCCGAGATCACGCCACTGCACTCCAGCCTGGGCGACAAGGTGAGACTCTATCTTCAAAAAACAAAAACAAAAAAACTTGAAGGTCTTCATCAGGTTTTTCACTACCCTCCAACTTCCACATACTTCTACAACTTCTACATATAACCATTAATTGATTCAACTAACATATGTTGGAGTTGTCGTTCTGTTCTGGACCTGCTCAAAACAACTAAGCCAGATCATGCTCCCACGGAGTTCAAACCTAGATACCTAAAGTTCAAAATAAAATAGAGAAAATAAGAAAAGAATAAAAAAAAATTAAAAAAACAAAATAAAATAGAGTATTGTAAGAAATACATGATCTTCGTCTAGGCGCAGTGGCTCACACCTGTAATCCTAGCACTTTGGGAGGCCAAGGTGGGTGGATCACCTGAGGTCAGGAGTTCGAGACCAGCCTGGCCAATATGGTGAAACCCTGTCTTTACTAAAAATACAAAAATTGGCTGGGCGTGGTGCCACATAATCCCAGCTAGTCGGGAGGCTGAGGCAGGAGAATGACCTGAACCCAGAAGGCAGAGGTTGCTGCAGTGAGCCGAGATCACGCCACTTCATTGCAGCCTGGGTGATACAGTGAGACTCTGTCTTAATAAAAAAAAAATGCCGGGTGTGGTGGCCATGCCTGTAATCCCCGCATTTTGAGAGGCTGAGGCGGGCAGATCACAAGGTCAGGCATTCAAGACCAGCCTGGCCAACATGGCAAAACCCTGTCTCTATTAAAAATACAAAAACTAGGGCCGGGCGCGGTGGCTCACGCCTGTAGTCCCAGCGCTTTCGGAGGCCGAGGCGGGTGGATCACGAGGTCAAGAGATCGAGACCATCCTGGTCAACATGGTGAAACCCCGTCTCTACTAAAAATACAAAAAATCAGCTGGGCCTGGTGGTGCGTGCCTGTAATCCCAGCTACTCAGGAGGCTGAGGCAGGAGAATTGCCTGAACCCAGGAGGCGGAGGTTGCGGTGAG